CAGGTTGCCCAGAGAAGCTGTGGATGCCCCATCCCTGGAAGTGTCCAAGGCCAGGCTGGATGAGGCTTGGAGCAACCTGGTCTAGTGGAAGGTGTCCCTGCCCATGGCAAGGGGTTGGAACTGGATGGGCTTTAAGGTCCCTTCCAACCCAAACCATTCTATGATTCTATGAGCTCATCCAAGCCCCTCCCTGAGATGCTACAACCATTAAAGGAAAAATGATGCTTCCAAGCTTTCACGCTTCCAAGAAAATTCTTCTTGGGCATGTTTGTTGGCATCTTGCTATCCCTCATCACCTCAGCAGCTTTCCTGCATCATGGCAATGCATCTCCCTGCTTTCCCCTCCACAAACTGCCTACCTCCGAGACATTAATCCTCGTCCCAGCATTTTTGGCTTCAAACTACCTGATCCAGCTCGAATACGCAGAGCCCAGGTTTTGTGTGGAGCCATAAAAAAAAAAAACCAACACCCTGCCTCCATTGAAAATGTACATTTGTTCCTTCAACACCCTTATTATTAATTGCTATAAAACTTAATTTTATTCATCGTTTGTTATGCCTCAAAATTGAATGGGAAAAAAAATTCAAATTAAGTGAAGTGAAAAGATTTCAGAGATGGTAGAGAAGGCTCCTGAAGGAGCTGAAGAAAACTCTCTGGAGACTGGGAACACAGCGCTAACCCAACCTGAAAGAAAGAAGATCTTAAGACAAAGAAATCTTGCCAAATTGATCCTTTAATTATAACATTAGTCGTTTCTTTCAAAGGCTTAGTGCAAGAGCTGGGGGTGGGGGGCAGAAAAGACTTAAAGGGAGAAAAGACTTAACATCACCAGGATGAGTAGAGGCAATTAGGAGGATTTAAATTACTCTCGTTTGGTACAAGGCAGATAGATTTCATTTTTCTTGCCACCATGCTCAACTTCTTGCTTTGCCATCAGCTTCCAGAGGTCTTCTCCTTGGCAGACCCAAGGCTCCAGCCTTCCCAGGTCGGGAAGCAACCCCTTCCACTCCGCGCACACTCAGCTATTGCTGCACTCCACGAAGATTGGTGATTACAGCAGCTTTGTCACCCTGGAAAGGGACTGGAAGTACAAGACTGGATAGGGGAAAGGAGTCGACCAGCCCTCAACAGCTGCGATGAATGGAGGAGGGTGATCACAACCCAGATTTTCTCTGCAAGGGCTGGGGAAAGGGAGACAGAAGAGAGTCAAAAAACACCCCATCTGGTCTCAGAAACTCCACATGAGTTCTCAAAGTTATTCCTCCAAGCGTGGCTGATTTTTTTTTTTCTCTTCACTCCTTCGCTTTCTTGCTCCCAGCACCAAGCTAGACATAAGCCAACAACTCGTCAGGAGGGACAAAACAGGCAGGACCTCTGCTAGGACAGGGCCAGCGGTGAGCTGTTGTCATTCCTGGGGGGGCACCACTGCTCCCGCAGCACCGTGCATCGCCCCGATCCTGCCGCTCTGGAGATGCAGCACGAACGCACAGATCTAAAGCATTTTACGTGAGAAACAGCTGAGAAAACCAAACCCAAAAGCACCGCATGAAGATGGAAGAGCAGACTTTTGCAAATCCCCGGCACAGGGCACGTGCAGCTTCTGCATCCCGCTGACTCGGAGCCAGCTGACCGCAGGGCGCTGCCAGCACCCGGCCGTCAGCCGCAGGGCAGGCGGGGGTCCCACCCCCAGGGCAGATGGCTGAGGTGTGCTACCCTCTGCGCACGACAGCCCTTCTCCCTGGGATGAGATGCAGAGCCCGCAGGTGCATCCCGCCCCTGGATGACACCAACCTCAGGATGCAGCACTCAACACAGGTCTTGGGATCTTCCCAAGCTCGCAAATCCACCGGCTGCCACGTGGCAGAAAACAGGGCATTTCGGCTGATGCTCCGTTGTCACTCGCTCCCGCTGACTCTCTTCTGCCAGGATTATTCCAGTAGCTTGTGTAGCTTTAAAAGCTGAGCAGTCACATCTCCTTGGGCTTCCTACCTGCAAAAATCTCTCAGAGAGGAACAGGGCCAATTTTTTTTTTCCCTTCCTGCTTCCAGTTAAAATTAATTGATCCGTAATTGCACCCATAGAGGGGGAAAGTTAATAGACACAGTAATAAATGCCAAAGCCCCAGAAGAACTGGCTCTCCAAGCCCCTGCCTGGAGCGAATCCATCTCCTCTTAATAGCGTTGCATGCGATCCCAGTGCATGTGCGCGCGTTAATATTTAGAGAGAAAAATCGAGGAGCCTCGGTATGATGGAAATCATTTCTTTTCCTCTCCCACATACTTTGTGCTTAGGAGCAGATGGATCCAGGCTGTTTACATCACGGAGGTCATGCCTCAGCTTAACAGTTGGGGAACTGACTGTTGGGAGAGATGCGCATCGCAACCAGAAGATTGCTAAATCTGGGCTCCGGCAAACTTCTGATGGTGGCAAGTTAAACATACAAATGTCCTCCTGCAGCCTCTTCGTATTCAGCACCAGCCTCGGGTGTTTGGGTTTTTTTCCTTTTTCCCCCCAAAGAAAACCCACTGCCGAGATGAAGCGAGGGCAGAGAGGCAGCTCTGCAGCAGCTCGTGAGCGTGAAGTTGGGGAAGAGGGTTGGAAATCCCGAGCGGACCTCGTTACTCGCCGGTGCAGATGGTGCGGTTCGCGAGCGACGTGTGTCCAGGTTTTTGCAAACGTGCTACCAGGACTCGCTGCTCACCGTTGTGCCCCGAGTTAACAGAGCGACCGCGACTTCGGCTAGCCGGGCACGGCTGCCTGCCTTCCCCAGATCAGTGCCGTGATGCCAGGGAAAGGTTTCCTCCGTGTGGAGGTGTTTCCATGGAGCTCATCCCCAAGATGACCTTCTCCTCCCAGCTCAGCCCAGCAGTGGGGCGTGCAAGGGGATCCAGCCAGACCCTGGCTGCTCATCCAGTTCCGAGGCTGGGGGATGGAAAGGTCGCTCTTTCCCCTCCGCGGCAGAGCCAAGTGCTCTCATCCAGCACGAGAGGATTGTGAGAAGTGTTAAAAACCACAAAGACGAAGCAAGCAAAATGAGGAACGAAGCCCTTCTTACAGCACTCGAGGACGTGCATCGTTTGTGCGCAGAATTCCCTTCTCCCGCCCCACAGTGCACCCCTCCGCGGCTCCAGCAGCAGATTTGGCGAGGGTGTGCTACACCACAGCCAAGGGCCTGCATCCCTGGCCGTGGCCAGGCAGGAGGGCACGAACGGTGGCCTTGCCATGGGGTGGCAGAGCCCAGCTCGCCGCCTCCGCTCACCTCGCTCAGCCCACCGGGGAGCTGAGCAGTCGTGCTTTTCCCTAGGTATCTGGCACGCCACAAGAGCATCTCCATTGCCAATTAGGCCACCCACCCACTTGCATCCTTCCCCAATACAAACCCTATTAGCAATAAACAAACAGTTGAAATGCCAGCCGGCGCCTGGGAAGAGCCCTAGACAACGGTATCCAATTCGGCGAGCGCGGGAACAGCTGCCTGGTGAAGTCCTGGCACAGGCAAGCACCCATTATGGACCAGAACATGGACTGGGCATCCCAACAGCCACCCCATGGTCCTCCTGCCAGTGGCTTGCAGGGCAGAGCAGTGCCACCTTGCCGTGTCCGGGCTGCTCTCAGCATCCTACCAGCACCAAAAGCCTCAGTGTCCACACAACAGGCTACGTTGGCATGATCCAACGTGGCAGTAAGGGGCTTTTCCAGCTGCCTAGCCCTGAGCTTCCTAGTTTCCCTTCTCAGGGTTTTTGCAGGAAAGCTCCTGCTTGACAGGGACACCCAGCCAGGCTTTGCTCAAATCCCCAAGCTGGATGGTGGCATAAGAAATGGGAAAGCCACTCAACACTGCTCGGGTGTCTTCATCCTCCGTAAGAGCTCCCTCCCTGCAAGGCAGCTTGAAGCCCTTCCTGCAGCCTGTCCCCAGAGCCCCTGGAATCAGTCAGACCCCAGACTGAGACCTGGGAAAATTCAACCCACCAACATACCCTGATGACCATCCTGCTGCTCCTAAAACCACCACGATCACATCACAGGGACACTTAGGACAGGGACAGAGATGGCCAGGACCAGTCTCCACATTGATCCCTGCATCTAAGGGCTTTCCAATTGGCTAAACCAGTGCTACGGCAGCTTTTTTTTTTTACCATGATGGGCAATTAGGGAAAAAATTACCTGCTGCCAGGCACAGGGGACCCACTGCTGCCTGTGACAAGGGCAGGGGAGCCCACGTCCCCCTCCCAGTGCAGGAGAGGACATGCTTTCCCCGTGCACCAACCCCTGCCAGCGGTTGAGGATGTGCTTATGCAACCGCAGTCCATTGTCATGGAGACAAGAAGCCTTTTTCTCTCCAAACCCAGCTTAATGGCTTGGATTAAAACCTCCTTTCCCCTGGGAAGAGCAGAACAGGGATAGTTGTGCTGTCCCCATGTCCTTGGTTTGTCCAACCCAGGCAGCCCTTCCTTTACCCCATCCCGTGTTGGGCACCAGCGCTGGGCACAACCTCCCAACCACAGCCCACACAGCATGGAGGTGCCCCACATCACTCTCACGTGTACCCCAAACCCATCCCAGTGCATGCCCACCACATTCCATCAGCCAGCAAACACGCACCCGGCTGCAAACACGTCCCAGACTCACATTTCCATAATGTCCCCCCCACATTTTTCCCCTCCAGCAGGTCCCAACCAGTCATAAAATCAACAGGGACTATTTCTCCAGACGATCTTTAAGTTCCCTTCCAACCCAAACCATTCGGTGACCAAAACCATGAGCCCTTCAGCGAGGCGAGACAACCAGAAAGCGACAACGCTTCCCCTTTCCTGGCTCCCCGGGGAGCAAAGGAGCTAAGCAAAGCCAGGGAACGATCCTTTGATGTGAGGCAGGCATGGAGGGGATGGGGGAAACCAGCTGCTGGGGTCGAGAGGGCATGATGATACCAGAGGCCAACCTCGGGGACCGGAGACACACGATGGGCATGGTCTGGAGGGGAGGACAGCATCTCGCTTACCCCGACAGCACTCCCAGGACAAGGTTGAGGACGAAAAAGGATCCAATGATGATGAGGGGGATGAAGTACAGCCAGTTCCAGGTGGCTCCTAAGGCATCATTGGTCTGGAGGGGGAAAAGAAGAAACAACACGTGTCATGTTACATTCAACCACCCGCACCCGGGGCAGAGGGAGGGTGCATTAGGGATTCTCCCTCCAGGCTCCTCAGGGTGATGTGGCCATGCCTGCTGGGCCTTGATGGGCACCAGACAGCTCCCTGTGCAGGCAGGCATGTCCAGCCAGGGGCTGCCAGCCAGCAGTGCCCCCATGACCCTCAGCACCCCACCCCAGCCACCTTCTCCAGCCCTCATCAGGCAGGACTGCTCTCCTCTGCCTCCTCCTACCATCCCTGAGAGGGTGCAGGGGCTGTAAGACTGTGGTGTAGTTGGAGGTGCAAGGCCTTGCAGCATGAAAATGGGGTTCTGAGGGCATGGGGGCCACCCTGAGCGTGCCCAACCCCCCAGCAGCTTGATTCAGTGCTCCCCTGTGCATCCCACCAAGACAGGGCAAAGCATCCTCGGCGCCAGTTAAGAGGGAAAGATTTATAGGGTGGCTTGGAAAGCTGGCAGCTGAAGAAGAGGCAGCTGATGCTTGTCCTTCCATGCACAGGGGGAAAGGGGCTGGTGAAGACAAGCCACACACCTTCAAAAGGGTGTTTTGCTGATGGCATTGTGGCTAATACCCTGCAGGCACCCTCTGGCCCCGCGTGCATTACCCCAGCCCCAAGGAGCTGAGAGTCACACTAACCGCAGGGCTATACCCGACAGCCAAAAAGGCTGCTGGCAAGCCCTGCTCTATACCTCCAGACATTTCTTCACCAAGGCTTTTAATAAAGCAGTGCCCCTCTGTACCTCGCAGCCGCTTCCCAGGCCCCATTTGTCCTCCGGTGTCAGGCACAGCGCACATGACGCCGGGCTGGAGGGTGATGCGGCAGAACGTGACTGTCTGGGGGAGGTGGTATCAATCTTGTTGCAATGAAAGACTCTCTTTTCTCTCTCTTCCCTCCCCTCCCTCTCCCCATGCTAATTAAGCCCTCATCTTCATCTGAGTCATTGGCACCACCTCTCCCGGTCAGCCAGTGCAGGAGACGAGGCTCTGCACGGGGAGAAGCACATCTCCGAAAAGGAGAGAAAGCCACCGTGCTGGGATCTTCCTTTGGTGACCAAGGGTCACAGCAGGATCCTCAGCCAGGCGTCCACACCACCGTGACACCGAGCC